GTAAGATCTGTGGTGTTCACAAAATGGTCAAATTCAGTTCTTTGTGATTATTGTATGACTGTCTTTAGAAGTCACATATCAAAATTATGAGTTAATTCAAATGGAATCTGAAATGAAGCCTGTATCAATATTATTGTGCATCTTTCCTTTTTCTTTCCTTTCTTCCCTCCCCACCTCACACTCTACCATCACCTGAAAGCACATGATCTCAGTTTCGAAGAGTTTGCAATGTATATTTCAGTAAAGAGAGGTAACAAAAGGCCCAGTGGGAAAACAGGCTGCTCAGTCACACTGCTGGGGCAATAAGGCCTGTGTACCTTCTGCTGGTCTGCACGTCAACGTTGGAAATGAGCTGTTAAGGAAGTTCTGGGATGGCACACTGCTCAAGAGAAGCATCTTAGGGTTCTCCCAGAGCATCCTTACATCTAAGGATGACATGTGTGGAGTGGGAGCAGATAGCTTGGTTTACTGTTGTCTTGGCATAACTGAGCACCCTACTGCAGGGGTGTCAAATTGTCAGAGACTGTCAAATAATCAAATCTGAATTGTCAGAGTGTGCAGGCAGGAAAGTGGTTACAGGAATGGTATTATATAGCCTCTCAGGTGAAGAACTAAAAGGGACAGTTAACAGCATAATGGAATTGATTCTTGAAAAAGTTAATAATTCTTGAATACATCAGAATAACAATGACAGGCAAGGTTATTAGACCAACTAAGTAGTTAGAAAAAAGTTCTCAGCAAGCTTTCAGGCACAATCACCCTTCTTCAGGCAGGAAGTCTCTGTTATTCTTCTCTCATTCCTTGGAGTCTTAGAACAGCAGAGACTTCCTATGCCTGAAGAAGGGTGATTGCGCCTGAAAGCTTGCTAAGAACTTTTTTCTAACTACTCAGTTGGTCTAATAAAAATATCACATCTACTCAAAGAAACTTGCCTGCCTATCTCCTTAGACCAACACGGCTACAACCAAAAACTTCAGAATAACAACAGATCTTTAGAATGAGTTTGAATAAGGAGGAGTAGTCTGGTATAGCCATTACATATGCACCTCTATGTAAGTGAAGAGAGTAGTGCTTAAGTTGCAAAAGCATGCATCCTATGGAACAGAAATGCTGAACAATGACATTAGCAGAAAATTATATTTCTGTGAGATTTAATAAGACTTTTTGCTGTGAAATCAAATCTGGCAGAGGTGCACTGATATATCGGTCCCATATCAGATCGGCACAGATATAGGGAAAATTGCAGAAATTGGAATTTTTTGCCTGATGCAGACAGTAAATGCCCTGTGCATGCACACAGCCACAGCATGCACGCAGCCAGGAGCACAGCTTGGTGGCTTGGACAGTGACAACCAGCTGGTAAAGTCTGTTGTGGGGGAAGGGTGGGGGGAAGGAAGGGGTGTGAGGGAGTGCAGATCAAGGTCTCCATGGTGAAGGGGAGGGAGTGGGGCAGGGGCAGGTGCTACTCAGCCGAGGTGGGGCATGGGACAGAGCCACGGGGGGAGGTGATTCCCACTGCTGCATGCACCCTAGGAGAGCATGGCTTCCCAGGGTGTGTGCAGCAATGGGAGCTGTCCCCCTCCCCCCATGCTCCCCAGATGAGCTGCATGTGGCTCCATCCCGCACCCTGCCCTGCCCCACTCCCTCCCTCACTGTGGGGTCCTTGATCTGCCTCTGCCACACCCCTTCCCCCACACCAGAAAGCCTGACACTGCTATCCAAGCTGTGGGGATGCATATCAGAATCAGATTGGTATTGGCCAATATGGCTCCTTAAATATTGGCCATCGGTATGAACCCAAAAAAATCTCTATTGGTGCACCCCAAAATCTGGGGGAATACTGAATCAAATCATTAATATTCTTATTTTTATTTATAATTCAATGCTGCCTAAAGATGTAAAAAAACAACCTGGTGCTTTGCTTTACTTTAAACTCCATGCATCCCAGTGCTGAGCCCACCACATGCCCGTAAGAGGCACTGTGTTAGTTGGACCTGGCTTGCTCAATGTCGGTATAGGTTGGGTGTTTTTGTGGGGCTTTTCTGGCACTTTTAATAGCTGACTGAATCAGCTTTAGCTAAAAGCACCAAAAAGCCCCACTGAAGCACCCGATCTATGCAGATTCTGGGGAAACGAGTCGAACTAATGCAATGTTTCTTCCCATAAAGTTCTCCCCCCTCCCCACACCTGTCAATGCCCCAAATTATTTAAGAATAAATACAAAACAAGATGGATAAAGCATTCATTAGAGCTCTCTCACAAAATACATATTAAAATATTTCATAAGACAACAAAAGAGAGCTCGCTTATGAAGAAATGTCAAACAAGAAAATCAAGCTTCAAGAACAGATAACATTTTAAATCTAAACCACATCAAATATTCAGCATTGAGCTTAGTGGAATAAGTTATCAAAAAAACTAAAATTATCATATGAAAATGTAGGTCCTAATCTTGTTATCTTATTTCTGTGCCCATACAGGCCCCTGCACTTGACCACACTGGCTGCGTCTATACAAGACGCTCACTGCGCAGTAGGCCCATGACTACTGCGCAGTAGGCCCATGACTACTGCGCAGTAGCGTCGCATGGCAGGAAGCGTGATGCAACGCTACTTAGCAGTAGTAATGAGCTACTGTGCAGCCAGCGTCATAAAAAAGCTGTTCCTCAGCATGACTGAGTAGTAACACCACTTAATGCACAATCAGCATCTTGTGTAAACATGGCCACTGACTAATCTAAATATGAAGTTAAAGTATATATACATGGCAATGTTGTGCAGAAACACCTGAGCTAGCTCTGGAACGAGAAGCTATATGGCCCCAACAGTTATAACAAACAGCACACTTTTACTGCTTCCAGTAGGTCACGTATACAAAGGTAGCTTAGACCTCTGTGCGTGGTTCTGCCTTCTACTGTATACTGTGGTTCAAGATAGTGCATTCACAGGGTGTCTACACTCAAGGCATCTCTGCATTATGTCACAGAGGTTCACCCTTGGTGAAGCATGATACAGGTGTCAAACCTTAAGGCCTCTGCTAGACGTTACATTTATTGCATAATTAATTTCAGCATGCCATATCTTCAACATTTATCACATGATTAAATGTAGAACATCTTTGTGGCTGGTTTGCATTTTTAAATTAAAAAGTATGGTATTGAGGTCCCTGATCCTTAGTCACCCACACTGTAGACAAATTCATAGCATGGACAGCTATGGATTGAGGACTCCCAGATCCCCAGCTACCCACACCCTGGTGTGCTTGTAGTCAGTTGTAGGTATGCAGTTTAAATGTCCAAGTGCTCTGGGAACCTGGCATCGGAGATGCCACTTGCTGGCAGCTTCCCACGTGCTAGCAGTCATGCAACTGGGATCTGACAAATTTTATCCTGAAATCCAAAATCATGCGTCCTTCCATGCACTTCTGGCATGACAGGACACAATTTTTGGATCCAGGGTAGAATTTGTCAGATCACAATCACACAGCTAAATCAATATCTACTGAGGCCCTAAATGACATGCTTTCCAAAAGAGGGCAGTATTTTAAATAGTTTCTTTAAAAAATCCATTATTCTAATCCTGCAGATTTCTGCACATGCTTCATTCTATGCATTTGATTAGTCACACTGAAATCAAAGGATTAATCACATACATAAAATTAAACATGTGCAAAACTATTGGCAGGACCATAATTGAGATTAGTATTTAGATATTTTGTCTTTGAAAAAGAGCAAGTTATTAAATCTATATCAAAAGCAAATCTAGAGAAATAATTAATCAAAGTTCTAACACATAGGTACTGCTGCCCAAGCAAAATTACTGAAGTGGGCAAGTTAATTTTACCAGATATTTTCCTTAACACTGAAAGCTGCAGAACTGCCACTTTTGCTCCCCAGTTTATGGTACAGGAATAAATGTATGATGTTCATTGTAAGAATAATAGTACTTTTAAAATTTTACTAAGTTAATTGTAAAAGCTACATTAATATTGGGGATCTTGATTAAAAGGTACTTATCAGCATAATTTTTTATGAGATTAGAATAGCAAATTTTTGTTAATGAGAATAAGAACATAAGAATATTAAGAACTGACATTTACTGGGTCAGGCCACAGGTCCATGTAGTCTAGCACCTTGTCTCAACAGCAGCAGAGAATGGATGCTCAGGGAAAGGGTGAAAAGGGCACGTCCAGAATTTTCCAGCCCTTGCTCCTCTGCCATTGCAACTTCCAACATTCAGAGGTTTAGGATATTCTGCTTCAGAGGCACATCCCTATTTATTATGTTCATCGCCTACTGATGGACCTTTCCTCCAAGCACCAGTTAGTTCAGTTCCCTTTTGAACTAGCTTAATCTATCTGGGTCAAATATCATCTAAAAAACTAAAATATATCATTCCATGACATCACTGTCATCAAGCAAGAAAAAGCTGGTTTAACAACCAAATTTGCTTTGTACTGAAAAAAATGTCTATTTCTAGGGAAGAGGACTGTAAAATTCAGACATTTCACCTAAATATTTTTTAATTTATGTTGAACTATATTTTATGTAAACTCAATACCAACACAAGATTTAAAAATTATTTCTAGTTTACTGAAATAAAATGCAAATACCTACAAACGTATTACAAGGAAAAAAGGACAAAAGGCCAGAGGCTTTTTTTTCCCTCTTAGTTATGTAAAAGCTAAGTCAGGTCTCTTTATTCTTAGATGTTACCAACATTTTCATATAGCACTATAATGGTTTCTAGGGAGAAGAAAATCTCACTGTCACAATCTCCCCCAAGATTTTTCTTCTTTTTATTTAAACTTATTTTATGTTTTCAAAAGTTAAATTCACTTGTTTTTATATAGCACATAAATAACACAATTCCAATGAGGGTTTGTATTGGTACAATTATGCGTAAGTTTACTAAAAGCTGAACTCACATCTGGAATTCTCAATATAGCTCTGAATCTTAAATGTTTAAATGAACTACTGATACTTTTTTTAAAGGAGTTACCTCAATGATGGTTGGTTTGCCCACATTTTCTATAGTTGGTGATCCATACAGCACTCCATCACTGTATGGTGTCCTCTGAATGTAGCGTAGCCATCCAGGTCTGTCAGGGTAACCCATTAAGTTGGTATTAAATGTTATAGGATCATTACTTACTTCACCTGGGTAAGACATAAATATTAGAATATTTTATAAATGCACTTACATATAACTCATTTGATAGTTTCCATTTCCACTTTAAATCTGTTTCTGTTGTATAAACAACATATAGAATGTTTTGGGATACACTGCTGCATTTCCATGGGGATGGGGGAAAAGGACAGTTATTAATTTGGAATTTCCTTTCATTGGAATAGTTTCATTTGACAGATCCATACTCCAGAGTCTATGCTCAGCATGTGTAACTGGCACAAATTCCACATTTTAAATTTACAGCCAACAGTAGGGTGGAATACTCTTTTGCACTCTGGTGGCTCTTAATGCTTTCAATTATCAGTTACTAGGTATTAATTCAAGGAGGTTCAGATTCTCTCTAGAATGAGGCAACTCAACTCTCTACCAACAGAAACAAAAAGTCTTCAGCTCAATATTTCCAAGCAAGAAAACCATCTATTTTGAAAAATTCTAGAGAACTTGCCTAGAGATTCTAGAGATTATGGGAATGGAAAAGCTTACCTTTAAGCCACTTTATAAGAGGATGGGTAACTGCTATTCATGTCTGCATGATCCTGTAGCTATACAAGTTAGCTCAATTGCCCTATCTTTGGCCTTGAATGAAACAGTGTTAAAGTTGGAGTGATTTTTGATATACTGTACCCCTATGGAAACATAAAGATGTAACACTTGCATTGTAGCAGCTTGTATCAGAATTCTTTGATATACAATTGTTACAGTCTTTATTGGGGGAGGGGGGAGGGTTTTGCCTTGATACTTCTGGGCATGTCAAGACATAGAAGTCCTCAATACAGACAACTGGACAACAGATTTGCTTTAGAGCACTCATTTACTTTTGAGCTGAAGAATAACCCTTCCAACACACAACAGATGCAAGTTCCCCTTCACTTCCCTATATGAGAGGGTGAGGGTTTCTGCAGACATTTGAGAAAATAAATTATGACCCATATTAAGAAAGACCAGGCAAAGACTCCCAAAGCCAGAACCTGCAAATAAGGGAGAAACTGGGCAAAGAAAACTGGATTTCTGCTTCCTTGGGTGCTCAGTGCTAGTAAAAGGATGTCAAACTCATCCTACACCTGCAGAGCCACAGGGTTCATCATGGGCCAGATTCAGCTGCAGGGCTGAGGCTCACCTCTGGGGTGACCTCACAGGCTCACCTCCAGGATGAGCAGTGGTTGTATGGAATGAGTGGGGTGAGCAGTAGTGGCAGTGGTGACTCACTGCCCCACCACTCACATGCATCCTCAACAGGGCTCTACCCAAGAAGTGGGCAGTGGGCTCATCTACATTCCACCTGCCCCCAAACTCACAGTCCCTCCAGGAGCACTGGTGGGCCATATCATTGACACACATGCTTTAGTGGATGGCTGATTTTCAATTTAGTTGAAGAGCTAGACACAAACCATGCATCACTACCTGTAGGGGAAAATAGAGAAAAAGTCGTACTGCCTTTACCACAATCTAAGCAGTCTCACTACCACTGCCCTAGGAATAATCTTACTAGGGTGAAGAAGTTGCTAGGATTCATGGTAAACTATCTACTATTGTGATTTGAGATCCAAGGTCAATTTTAGATTAGCTCATTTCAAAATCCTTCCCCAAGAAATAACCTACAATGCCAAGGATTTGGCAGAATTCTGTCACAGAACAGGTTTAAACAAAGGCCGTGTAAATATTGCGAAGATTAGGCCTTCTGGCTAACATAGCATTCATGAAGTCCATGGTATACCTACAGCTGTGGCCTTCTGACCCTAGAATCTATGAATCTTTGACTTGACTTGAACTAAGTTATAGTCTGGGCTAGCAGTGTACTACAAACTATATGCAATTAGGAAAGTACTTCTAAATCCTTTCCTTCTGCATAATAAAGCTGTTAGCTCAAGCCAGGCAAACTGGGCCGGAGCTGGGCAGATTTCACCCTACTACTGGCTAGCAGCCAAATCCCACATCATCTCCAGTCATACATGGAGCATAGACCCAAGAATAAGAGAATGTCTAAACACCCAGCTTTAGATAAGATGAAATAAGAACAGAATAAATCATTTCTTCTCTTCAATATTTTAAACATGACAATGAAAGAAACTTATTTTTCTCCAAAGTGACTTCAAGGCTACTATTTCTGAGAATCAATTAAAAAAGTTATCCATTAATTTTATTCATATTTCTTTCAATAAAACTATATAATTGTTTATGAATAAAGTAGGGCAAACTGTCCTTTATCTTTATATGATTTTTTAAAATTGCAACACAAAAATCAGAAATCTTTATATGTTTTTGAGAGCAGCTTAAACTTTTATTTTCTGTCAGGGTAATCATAGTCTTTGTTTCAATTTCAGGGGTAGAAATCAAAATACCATGCTTCTGACAATACAGCCTTTTCTTTGGTAAAAGGTTGCTTTATAAGTTCTTTTAAGTTTCTGAATGTAGGAAAGAAAAGAAATTAATTCAAGGGAATATAAATGATTTTATATTTTATTTGTCCAAAATTACTTCATAGTCATTCTTGGCCTTGGACAGATGTGCATTTGTAGTACTACAAAGGGAGTTCACACATTCACAATTCTTGGCTGGAGCACTACAAGATCACTGCAAGGCATGCTGTCCCACAGGGGCTAAATAGAGATATTTGGGGGCAGTAGGGAAGGTTAAATTGGTTCAAAATGGCTGCCTGATATCAGGTAAGTCAGGATGGGGAGGGCTATTGGGGAGTTTGGGGGTCCAGCAGGCTGGAGGGGATTACCGAGTGATAAGGTCCATGAGAGGTGGACAGTCCATGAAAGGTGGGGAACAGACTCAACCTGCAGGTGAAGCAGGACAGGCAAGCACATCCTACAGGGGATGGGGGGCAGGCATGACCCATGGCAGGGGGGGCAGCACAACCAGCAGGTGGGGAAAAGACAGGCACAAGCCACAGGGTTTTGCTGGGATCCGGGAATGTCTGGAAGGATCGGGGAGTGGGGGGGGAAATCAGGGGCTACCTTTAGCTCCCTGCCCCCCTGTGAACCTCTAGTGATCCCCATCCCTCTTGCCCCTCCCCACACTGGGACTTCCTGATGCCAGAGCCAAGTAAGTAACACTGGTAAAAGCAGCTGTACCTGGAGCAGGTTGTGGGATGTGGGTTGAGAAGGCTGCCTGGTCCAGGGGGTGGGGGTGCAAGAAATAGGCCAGTTTGGGGGGGGGG